GTTTTCCACTTGTAAGAGCTGAGCGACCAGAGCTCTAAAATGCCCTTCCACTACAGTCTTCATGGCTTTCCTATGATCCTCAGTTGTTTTATCTCTGCTACGACATTCTCCAGATCCAAAACTAGTGGAGGAACGTAGGTATCCCCATTCCCCACCTCCAGTAGTACCTTCATCCTCGTCATCATCGAAAAGAACAGCTTCCCTATCATCCTCTTCATCATCTGGCTCAGGAGGTTGCCATAGTTGTCCATTACTCTCAAAATCCACAGGATCTGCATTATTGGTCTCTTCATGATAAGGAGAAGGTTCACATCCATCAGCATGCTCATGATCTTCTTTACTGGGAGCTTCAATCCCATCTATACCTTCTAGATCAAGATGTGGTGTTACGCTGCTAAAGTTTTTTTCCTGAATGCTAGCTTCATCAGGATGCATTTGATGTGGCCCGTATTCAACTCCATTAATGTTAACTGGATCTTCAAAGTCATGGGCATGAGAATAATGTTTTGATTCTGTATCCGAATGATAAACACCGTAATCATCATCTTCATCATCACTCCTGACTCAGAAGAATTAACAAGCTAATAGTAAGAACAGAAAAACAAAAGTCTGATGACAACAGCAGTATTCAACATATTGGTTTGATGGTGCACGTGCAATAGTCAAATATATCTTCTAAAGTCAATGAATCAGAGTCTACTAAGCTGCACATGCACTAGTCAAATATGTCTTACTAGAGTCTACAAATGACATTAAGAACTAATGTGAAATGAGATCCTTTCTATACACACCCTACTTTTCAGTACCAAAATCTCACAGCCAATATCAACGGCACCATTAGGCTCATCTCTAGATCAGAACATGATCAGTGATCATATCAAAACTTAGCCGCACAGACAAACAAAATCCAAATTTTAGAAAAGCCATACAAAAACACATCTTTGCAAGACTAACATTCATCTGTGTACATGCAATAGTCAAATATATCTTTCTAAAGTCAATGAATCAGAGTCTACTAAGCTGCACATGCACTAGTCAAATATGTCTTTCTAGAGTCAACAAATGACATTAAGAACTAATGTGAAATGAGATGATGTAGACATGGAAATGACTAGCTCCTTTTCATCCTTATTTTATCTTGATGTAGACATGGAAATGTGATGACTTAAATGACTTCTAATATTTAAGGGGCAAGGATAGACAATTGCATTCAGCAGTCCTACAAGACGAACCACAAAAGAAGGATTACCTGTTGAAGCAGTAGCCAAATTGGTTAGAAGTCAAATTCCCTACAGCCTCGGAGGGATTTGAACTCCTACTAGAATTTAAATTATCTTGTTCATCGGCTATCTGATTCATTTGCGAAGATTGACGGGGACTATAAGGCACACGCTGATAAGGCCCAGTTGTGTAAGGAACTGAACCAGCAGTGCTGCTGCTACTATGACAGGTGCAACTGGATTTAGTGCTGACCAAGCTTGTTGTAGATGGTGAAGGGCTAAGACAAGGGGTGGACGAAGGGTCTGCACTGCCATTATTATCAACTGTTGCTAACCCTTCCCATTGTTTAAAGCAATAGTTACAGACCCTTATCTTCTCCCACTCTTCACGGACAGTATTTGGCTCATCTGAAGGCACGGGAACAAAATTGGCAGTGCATTTTGCACAGAAAACTCGCCCACAGATTCGACAGTGATGCCTGCGGTTGAATATCGTGAACTGAGAATCACACTCATAGCATACCCTACAACTCTGATCGGGCATCCAGAAGTCCCTCGACACATTTGGTGGCTCAGTCCTTCGAGGGATCCAAGACCTAACTACATCAACAAAATCAGATCTTTTCTTATCGGGGGTGCCCATGGACTGTGATTCAACCCAAGCCCTCTCATTATGAGTCCTTCATTGACCAGCCTTGTTAACATGCCATCTGATCTATGATGCCGGAAAGAAGCATATCCTGATAAACAAATAAATATTCTTCAAAAATTAAAAAGCCAAGAACAGTGAAAAAACAGCACATCTTTGCACTACTAATTACCATTTTTTCCCTTAAAAATATAACTAGTTGATATACAACAATATTAATTATATAATACTAAAGAAATTCGCTGCTTCTGAACGGCTGAAAAATCAACAATTACAGAAACCATAAGTAATGAAAAATAAACTAGCAATGGGTTTAAATTTAGTGTTGATCAAAGAACAATGAAATAGTAAACATACAAAGTAATACTATTACTGTAATCCTATCCTCAAACATGAATCGCTGAAAACATTGGAAAGCCAATAACAGCTAACAGATAATATATAGTTAACAAATGAAATGGTTCAGACTAACTTCCAGAACAAAGGCAGAGACCACCATTGGCCACCGCCATGGCAAGCAAAACCCCATCATCTCAGTTCATAGGATCTTAGACAGCTCAACTCAATGCCTTACTTCCGCACATACACAGCAAGAAAATTCAATCCAAAACAACTACCCAGATGCGAAAACACCAACCACTCAAGCAAACAAGCGCAGAATCAGTACCACCCTAAGCTGGTTCACAAAATTTCTCCACTCCGTCACCGACCCACCAAGCAATCGGCCGTTGAACTCTGAGCATGCATGTAAAGACAGTAACTTTTCGGGAAGCTGAAACCTCAAACAACCGAAATCAGATCTCACAAGCCCTCCAGAAACACCCAGCAGAGTAATAATTACAAACAGTGATAGAGCAAATAAAATAATACTGTAATAAACTGTTTTTGTTATTATAATTATCGTAAAAAAAAAAACGTATTTTGAATGAAGGGAAAAGAAAGTGATGACAAACCAAAAGCACATAGAAAAATCCCATTCACATAGCGCCACCCTATCACGTGCGTATCCGACGCTTTCTACCATATGTTATTTTTCATCATTTATTTTCTGATGTTTATTTTTCAGATTAATTATTATTCCTATTTTTCATACATTATTTTATTCTTATTTTGTTTAAAGTTGTTGGAAGAAGTACCAACCAACCGCCACGCGCTTTGTACATCTGGAAAACTACGAGCTTCTATAATTACACGTGGTTTCTGTAATTATTATACGCTCTGTCGTTTTCTTTTTTTAATATTATTAAATTTTTAACATCAATAACTCAGCAATATAAATTATTTTATACTATCACTTCAATCAACTATTGTATATAATAAATTTATTATTCTTATAAAATTAGACTAGGAGTAATTTTATTATTCAAATAATAATATAAAATGTTTTACACTAAAAAATACGTTTATTCTCTTCTGATAACTAAACTCTTTTCTTTTCTTTTCTTTTCTTTTTTCTTCTGATCACGATTATTTGAGTTTTTTCCTCTCAAAGTCACGAGAAATTTGACCTACTTTCGCTAAAATGACGTGTTACTAAAACTATCGATTGCCATAGTTTTCAAAAGTAGAGCCACATAAATTTATGGACAATCAATCGTGTACCTAAAATGAATTATTGTTTTTTTTTTTAATTTAAGAGAATAATAAATTGAGATGAAACTGGAAAATTGAAAGAAGAAATAAAATGAAGCAGTAAATAGATTTTTAATTCATATAGTAATTTTTTCATAGCTTAGGAGGAAAGAAGTTAATGATATTAACTTATATCCGTTTTAAATCGTTGTATTTTAATAAATACGTTCTTCACAGAAAAACAAATTTATTTTGTGTGGGAAAGTCTTAGTCACATGATAAATCATAGAGTTTCAAAAAGTTAATAGATTTGTGTAAGGAGAGTTGGATTTGGCAACGATAGGAACAAACTTGGTAGTTGAGTTTATGATATATGCCACATTTTGAACTTTATTCAATATTCACATGAAAGAGAGTAATCAATAGAATGAAAGCTTTCAAGCAGTTTTTGCATTATTTAGGAATTTTCTAAAACAAAGAAGGAAAAGAAAATTTGATCACGTATTGGTTCCAAAATATATTGCCTCGGTGTCCAAATAAATGAATATAAACATGATAAAATGATAAAAGAATAAATTATTATTCGGTCATAATAATTTAATTAATTTTACTTAAAAACCATACTTATTATTTTTAAGGATGCTGAGCCCATTCATTTCTTCGAGCCTTGCTACTTTATGTACAAGGTGGCACTATTTTTACTGGTTTAGGGCTACCAATGTTGCTTGTTTGTGTTAGAGTGGTTGTAAACGTGTGGCTAAGACATATGGGACGAGCAATTGGTCTGCCCTGGTGCCTATTACTTACAACTGTTGCTAACGTCTCTCTTTGTCCCATTGTTAATCAAAGCAATAGTACCTCTAACTCGAAAAAAATTATGAATATTATTATTGATAATTCTACACCATAGCAATATTTACATCATATAGACTTAGTATCAGATTTGCTTGCATAGAATAAGGCCCTATTACAGGAAACAAATTTGTCAAGAAAACCAGACGTAGAAATAAAAGGAAATCACGACACATATAGAAATATAACAAATCTTAACACTCTAATATCCTATGATTGCCCCAACTCCAGTTGCCCCATACAGGCACAATGAAGTTACGCACTTAAGCAGACATATATACACGATTGTACAGTACTAGCAATTATACGAACGTTCCAACAGTTTTATTAATGGGGTTATTAAGGGAAGAAAAGGATTAACGTGAGGAGAAGACATCAACCATCCTTCAACATAATGGAATGCCCATCTACGTAAAATAAATTTCAGGAACATAGCTTCTTGAGCTATGAATTATCTATGTATAATGGGAAAGGGGAAAAGAAAAGGCAAGGACTGCACATTTTGTTTGCTCATTTTCCTTCTTTTTGTTTCAATGGGGCACATACTATTATTATAATTTTTCCCTGTTTTTTTTTCTGGCACAGGAAAAATACTGAAACGAATTAGAAGCATAGTTGTCAGCAGCATTAAGTTAAAATCAGATAAAATCTACCATAATACTGAAAGAAAAGAAAATAATAAAACACGTATGCAGCTCAGTAGATTTAACAACTAATATCTTTTTCTCCATAATCATTTCTGTTAAAATATAATAATACACACATAAATAACCATTTGTGTCTTCATCTAAGAGATTAAGCTAGTGATAGTAGGTTTATGAAAATTACCTTTCATTTCGATGTCCACAAGCTATGCATTTAACCTTTACATATCCACCAGGATCCATACCTCCACCTCTGCTCATATCAGGCTTCAGAATTGTAGCAGCTTCCCAAGACAAAGCAGTAATTATATCCAACCAATTCTCTTTTCCATCTTCATCACAAGTAGTTAGGTTTTCCACTTGTAAGAGCTGAGCGACCAGAGCTCTAAAATGCCCTTCCACTACAGTCTTCATGGCTTTCCTATGATCCTCAGTTGTTTTATCTCTGCTACGACATTCTCCAGATCCAAAACTAGTGGAGGAACGTAGGTATCCCCATTCCCCACCTCCAGTAGTACCTTCATCCTCGTCATCATCGAAAAGAACAGCTTCCCTATCATCCTCTTCATCATCTGGCTCAGGAGGTTGCCATAGTTGTCCATTACTCTCAAAATCCACAGGATCTGCATTATTGGTCTCTTCATGATAAGGAGAAGGTTCACATCCATCAGCATGCTCATGATCTTCTTTACTGGGAGCTTCAATCCCATCTATACCTTCTAGATCAAGATGTGGTGTTACGCTGCTAAAGTTTTTTTCCTGAATGCTAGCTTCATCAGGATGCATTTGATGTGGCCCGTATTCAACTCCATTAATGTTAACTGGATCTTCAAAGTCATGGGCATGAGAATAATGTTTTGATTCTGTATCCGAATGATAAACACCGTAATCATCATCTTCATCATCACTCCTGACTCAGAAGAATTAACAAGCTAATAGTAAGAACAGAAAAACAAAAGTCTGATGACAACAGCAGTATTCAACATATTGGTTTGATGGTGCACGTGCAATAGTCAAATATATCTTCTAAAGTCAATGAATCAGAGTCTACTAAGCTGCACATGCACTAGTCAAATATGTCTTACTAGAGTCTACAAATGACATTAAGAACTAATGTGAAATGAGATCCTTTCTATACACACCCTACTTTTCAGTACCAAAATCTCACAGCCAATATCAACGGCACCATTAGGCTCATCTCTAGATCAGAACATGATCAGTGATCATATCAAAACTTAGCCGCACAGACAAACAAAATCCAAATTTTAGAAAAGCCATACAAAAACACATCTTTGCAAGACTAACATTCATCTGTGTACATGCAATAGTCAAATATATCTTTCTAAAGTCAATGAATCAGAGTCTACTAAGCTGCACATGCACTAGTCAAATATGTCTTTCTAGAGTCAACAAATGACATTAAGAACTAATGTGAAATGAGATGATGTAGACATGGAAATGACTAGCTCCTTTTCATCCTTATTTTATCTTGATGTAGACATGGAAATGTGATGACTTAAATGACTTCTAATATTTAAGGGGCAAGGATAGACAATTGCATTCAGCAGTCCTACAAGACGAACCACAAAAGAAGGATTACCTGTTGAAGCAGTAGCCAAATTGGTTAGAAGTCAAATTCCCTACAGCCTCGGAGGGATTTGAACTCCTACTAGAATTTAAATTATCTTGTTCATCGGCTATCTGATTCATTTGCGAAGATTGACGGGGACTATAAGGCACACGCTGATAAGGCCCAGTTGTGTAAGGAACTGAACCAGCAGTGCTGCTGCTACTATGACAGGTGCAACTGGATTTAGTGCTGACCAAGCTTGTTGTAGATGGTGAAGGGCTAAGACAAGGGGTGGACGAAGGGTCTGCACTGCCATTATTATCAACTGTTGCTAACCCTTCCCATTGTTTAAAGCAATAGTTACAGACCCTTATCTTCTCCCACTCTTCACGGACAGTATTTGGCTCATCTGAAGGCACGGGAACAAAATTGGCAGTGCATTTTGCACAGAAAACTCGCCCACAGATTCGACAGTGATGCCTGCGGTTGAATATCGTGAACTGAGAATCACACTCATAGCATACCCTACAACTCTGATCGGGCATCCAAAAGTCCCTCGACACATTTGGTGGCTCAGTCCTTCGAGGGATCCAAGACCTAACTACATCAACAAAATCAGATCTTTTCTTATCGGGGGTGCCCATGGACTGTGATTCAACCCAAGCCCTCTCATTATGAGTCCTTCATTGACCAGCCTTGTTAACATGCCATCTGATCTATGATGCCGGAAAGAAGCATATCCTGATAAACAAATAAATATTCTTCAAAAATTAAAAAGCCAAGAACAGTGAAAAAACAGCACATCTTTGCACTACTAATTACCATTTTTTCCCTTAAAAATATAACTAGTTGATATACAACAATATTAATTATATAATACTAAAGAAATTCGCTGCTTCTGAACGGCTGAAAAATCAACAATTACAGAAACCATAAGTAATGAAAAATAAACTAGCAATGGGTTTAAATTTAGTGTTGATCAAAGAACAATGAAATAGTAAACATACAAAGTAATACTATTACTGTAATCCTATCCTCAAACATGAATCGCTGAAAACATTGGAAAGCCAATAACAGCTAACAGATAATATATAGTTAACAAATGAAATGGTTCAGACTAACTTCCAGAACAAAGGCAGAGACCACCATTGGCCACCGCCATGGCAAGCAAAACCCCATCATCTCAGTTCATAGGATCTTAGACAGCTCAACTCAATGCCTTACTTCCGCACATACACAGCAAGAAAATTCAATCCAAAACAACTACCCAGATGCGAAAACACCAACCACTCAAGCAAACAAGCGCAGAATCAGTACCACCCTAAGCTGGTTCACAAAATTTCTCCACTCCGTCACCGACCCACCAAGCAATCGGCCGTTGAACTCTGAGCATGCATGTAAAGACAGTAACTTTTCGGGAATCTGAAACCTCAAACAACCGAAATCAGATCTCACAAGCCCTCCAGAAACACCCAGCAGAGTAATAATTACAAACAGTGATAGAGCAAATAAAATAATACTGTAATAAACTGTTTTTGTTATTATAATTATCGTAAAAAAAAAAACGTATTTTGAATGAAGGGAAAAGAAAGTGATGACAAACCAAAAGCACATAGAAAAATCCCATTCACACAGCGCCACCCTATCACGTGCGTATCCGACGCTTTCTACCATATGTTATTTTTCATCATTTATTTTCTGATGTTTATTTTTCAGATTAATTATTATTCCTATTTTTCATACATTATTTTATTCTTATTTTTTTTAAAGTTGTTGGAAGAAGTACCAACCAACCGCCACGCGCTTTGTACATCTGGAAAACTACGAGCTTCTATAATTACACGTGGTTTCTGTAATTATTATACGCTCTGTCGTTTTCTTTTTTTAATATTATTAAATTTTTAACATCAATAACTCAGCAATATAAATTATTTTATACTATCACTTCAATCAACTATTGTATATAATAAATTTATTATTCTTATAAAATTAGACTAGGAGTAATTTTATTATTCAAATAATAATATAAAATGTTTTACACTAAAAAATACGTTTATTCTCTTCTGATAACTAAACTCTTTTCTTTTCTTTTCTTTTCTTTTTTCTTCTGATCACGATTATTTGAGTTTTTTCCTCTCAAAGTCACGAGAAATTTGACCTACTTTCGCTAAAATGACGTGTTACTAAAACTATCGATTGCCATAGTTTTCAAAAGTAGAGCCACATAAATTTATGGACAATCAATCGTGTACCTAAAATGAATTATTGTTTTTTTTTTTAATTTAAGAGAATAATAAATTGAGATGAAACTGGAAAATTGAAAGAAGAAATAAAATGAAGCAGTAAATAGATTTTTAATTCATATAGTAATTTTTTCATAGCTTAGGAGGAAAGAAGTTAATGATATTAACTTATATCCGTTTTAAATCGTTGTATTTTAATAAATACGTTCTTCACAGAAAAACAAATTTATTTTGTGTGGGAAAGTCTTAGTCACATGATAAATCATAGAGTTTCAAAAAGTTAATAGATTTGTGTAAGGAGAGTTGGATTTGGCTACGATAGGAACAAACTTGGTAGTTGAGTTTATGATATATGCCACATTTTGAACTTTATTCAATATTCACATGAAAGAGAGTAATCAATAGAATGAAAGCTTTCAAGCAGTTTTTGCATTATTTAGGAATTTTCTAAAACAAAGAAGGAAAAGAAAATTTGATCACGTATTGGTTCCAAAATATATTGCCTCGGTGTCCAAATAAATGAATATAAACATGATAAAATGATAAAAGAATAAATTATTATTCGGTCATAATAATTTAATTAATTTTACTTAAAAACCATACTTATTATTTTTTATTTTTTAATTAAATTTCAATACATTAAAATTAAAGTCAAATAAAACCCCGCAACATCCTGCCAAAATATGGTAGAAGAGTTTCAATAAATGAAATTTGCACGTACTTTCTTGGAGATTAATTTAATGTTACAAGGAGATAAAATAAAGTTCGAATCTCGAAAAACAGTAAAATAATTGTTACCAAACGTTTCCTAAAAAANCTTTCTAAAGTCAATGAATCAGAGTCTACTAAGCTGCACATGCACTAGTCAAATATGTCTTTCTAGAGTCAACAAATGACATTAAGAACTAATGTGAAATGAGATGATGTAGACATGGAAATGACTAGCTCCTTTTCATCCTTATTTTATCTTGATGTAGACATGGAAATGTGATGACTTAAATGACTTCTAATATTTAAGGGGCAAGGATAGACAATTGCATTCAGCAGTCCTACAAGACGAACCACAAAAGAAGGATTACCTGTTGAAGCAGTAGCCAAATTGGTTAGAAGTCAAATTCCCTACAGCCTCGGAGGGATTTGATCTCCTACTAGAATTTAAATTATCTTGTTCATCGGCTATCTGATTCATTTGCGAAGATTGACGGGGACTATAAGGCACACGCTGATAAGGCCCAGTTGTTTAAGGAACTGAACCAGCAGTGCTGCTGCTACTATGACAGGTGCAACTGGATTTAGTGCTGACCAAGCTTGTTGTAGATGGTGAAGGGCTAAGACAAGGGGTGGACGAAGGGTCTGCACTGCCATTATTATCAACTGTTGCTAACCCTTCCCATTGTTTAAAGCAATAGTTACAGACCCTTATCTTCTCCCACTCTTCACGGACAGTATTTGGCTCATCTGAAGGCACGGGAACAAAATTGGCAGTGCATTTTGCACAGAAAACTCGCCCACAGATTCGACAGTGATGCCTGCGGTTGAATATCGTGAACTGAGAATCACACTCATAGCATACCCTACAACTCTGATCGGGCATCCATAAGTCCCTCGACACATTTGGTGGCTCAGTCCTTCGAGGGATCCAAGACCTAACTACATCAACAAAATCAGATCTTTTCTTATCGGGGGTGCCCATGGACTGTGATTCAACCCAAGCCCTCTCATTATGAGTCCTTCATTGACCAGCCTTGTTAACATGCCATCTGATCTATGATGCCGGAAAGAAGCATATCCTGATAAACAAATAAATATTCTTCAAAAATTAAAAAGCCAAGAACAGTGAAAAAACAGCACATCTTTGCACTACTAATTACCATTTTTTCCCTTAAAAATATAACTAGTTGATATACAACAATATTAATTATATAATACTAAAGAAATTCGCTGCTTCTGAACGGCTGAAAAATCAACAATTACAGAAACCATAAGTAATGAAAAATAAACTAGCAATGGGTTTAAATTTAGTGTTGATCAAAGAACAATGAAATAGTAAACATACAAAGTAATACTATTACTGTAATCCTATCCTCAAACATGAATCGCTGAAAACATTGGAAAGCCAATAACAGCTAACAGATAATATATAGTTAACAAATGAAATGGTTCAGACTAACTTCCAGAACAAAGGCAGAGACCACCATTGGCCACCGCCATGGCAAGCAAAACCCCATCATCTCAGTTCATAGGATCTTAGACAGCTCAACTCAATGCCTTACTTCCGCACATACACAGCAAGAAAATTCAATCCAAAACAACTACCCAGATGCGAAAACACCAACCACTCAAGCAAACAAGCGCAGAATCAGTACCACCCTAAGCTGGTTCACAAAATTTCTCCACTCCGTCACCGACCCACCAAGCAATCGGCCGTTGAACTCTGAGCATGCATGTAAAGACAGTAACTTTTCGGGAATCTGAAACCTCAAACAACCGAAATCAGATCTCACAAGCCCTCCAGAAACACCCAGCAGAGTAATAATTACAAACAGTGATAGAGCAAATAAAATAATACTGTAATAAACTGTTTTTGTTATTATAATTATCGTAAAAAAAAAAACGTATTTTGAATGAAGGGAAAAGAAAGTGATGACAAACCAAAAGCACATAGAAAAATCCCATTCACATAGCGCCACCCTATCACGTGCGTATCCGACGCTTTCTACCATATGTTATTTTTCATCATTTATTTTCTGATGTTTATTTTTCAGATTAATTATTATTCCTATTTTTCATACATTATTTTATTCTTATTTTTTTTAAAGTTGTTGGAAGAAGTACCAACCAACCGCCACGCGCTTTGTACATCTGGAAAACTACGAGCTTCTATAATTACACGTGGTTTCTGTAATTATTATACGCTCTGTCGTTTTCTTTTTTTAATATTATTAAATTTTTAACATCAATAACTCAGCAATATAAATTATTTTATACTATCACTTCAATCAACTATTGTATATAATAAATTTATTATTCTTATAAAATTAGACTAGGAGTAATTTTATTATTCAAATAATAATATAAAATGTTTTACACTAAAAAATACGTTTATTCTCTTCTGATAACTAAACTCTTTTCTTTTCTTTTCTTTTCTTTTTTCTTCTGATCACGATTATTTGAGTTTTTTCCTCTCAAAGTCACGAGAAATTTGACCTACTTTCGCTAAAATGACGTGTTACTAAAACTATCGATTGCCATAGTTTTCAAAAGTAGAGCCACATAAATTTATGGACAATCAATCGTGTACCTAAAATGAATTATTGTTTTTTTTTTTAATTTAAGAGAATAATAAATTGAGATGAAACTGGAAAATTGAAAGAAGAAATAAAATGAAGCAGTAAATAGATTTTTAATTCATATAGTAATTTTTTCATAGCTTAGGAGGAAAGAAGTTAATGATATTAACTTATATCCGTTTTAAATCGTTGTATTTTAATAAATACGTTCTTCACAGAAAAACAAATTTATTTTGTGTGGGAAAGTCTTAGTCACATGATAAATCATAGAGTTTCAAAAAGTTAATAGATTTGTGTAAGGAGAGTTGGATTTGGCAACGATAGGAACAAACTTGGTAGTTGAGTTTATGATATATGCCACATTTTGAACTTTATTCAATATTCACATGAAAGAGAGTAATCAATAGAATGAAAGCTTTCAAGCAGTTTTTGCATTATTTAGGAATTTTCTAAAACAAAGAAGGAAAAGAAAATTTGATCACGTATTGGTTCCAAAATATATTGCCTCGGTGTCCAAATAAATGAATATAAACATGATAAAATGATAAAAGAATAAATTATTATTCGGTCATAATAATTTAATTAATTTTACTTAAAAACCATACTTATTATTTTTTATTTTTTAATTAAATTTCAATACATTAAAATTAAAGTCAAATAAAACCCCGCAACATCCTGCCAAAATATGGTAGAAGAGTTTCAATAAATGAAATTTGCACGTACTTTCTTGGAGATTAATTTAATGTTACGAGGAGATAAAAATAAAGTTCGAATCTCGAAAAACAGTAAAATAATTGTTACCAAACGTTTCCTAAAAAACAAAAAACATAATTTATAATTACTAAAATATTTTAGTTTCTAAAAGATATTTTTAAGAATGATTAAAGAGTAACTTTTAATATTTTTACCAAATTTGTAAGTATTTCTCACAGTCAACGAATTAATATTGATGGTGGAATACTTTTATCAAATTAAAACTGTTAGCCCGAAGAAGTTGCAACCTTGATCAATTTTTCGAAAAAAATAATTTGACTACAAATTTTTCGAAAAAGAATTTGACTACAAATAGAGTTTACGATCAGAGAGACTTGACATCTTAGTGTGGTAAATTATTATAAGTTATAAGTTTTATTTTTAATTTATCTTCACTGTTAATTGTCAGGACTTTAAATTTAAGATTCGGCATTGTAAAATAATATTCCCTTAAACTAATGTAATATGAAGAGTCTTAAATAAAGGCCTAAGTTATGAGAATAAATTTAACCATATAAATGACTAAAATCTTCAATCATCTGATCAAAAATAGAAAATCAAACAATAATTATAAAATAATATATCAAGATCCCCGCGTCCCAGCATTCAAATAAAATGTATTTTAAGACGATTTTCTATAAATATTATTTTTTTAAAACATAATCCAACGAAAACAAACTTTTATCTATTCCTGTAAAATCCTAAAGTGTTCATGTACTAAGGAATATCTCAATTACTATATAGTTTAAACAATCCATGTCATGGTGTATAAGATTTATTAATGCAAACCACATAGCAACCATGTTCGAACTAAAGAATTTGATGATGAGTAGTAATATGCTGATTCAAAAAAAAAAACTATACTCAACCAGAAAAGTAAAAACAGAATATTTTATATAAAACCAATTCTCATGGGCAACATTTGAACGACCAGTAAACAAAAGAAATTGGTTGTCTCCTCGAGCTTCCAAACACATTATATTGCCTTTAGGCAAGTATATTACTCTATTTAAAATATTTCTAATTCCAGAAAAATCCATCAGCATGAATAAAAGAAAGCAAACGAATAACTGATTTCAGGGATTGTCTATTTACAATTTAGTATAATATTCACATCATAAATTCGTGTATAGAGCATCAATATCAATCGTAATATATGACCGAATTACGAGGGGATCCCTCACCCATATGAACCAAACATGGAGGAGTTGGAATTAACTATGGGAATCATAATTCAGAAATCCATGGAAGAACTAGAAGTGTATATACAACAGGCAGTATTTAAGACACCGCCTGCAGCAGAGACAGAAAGAAGGTGCAACTGTGGACCTGGAAGCAGAGACCAGCTTAGAGACGTAAACAGGAATACAGTTCTTGAAGACTGGCATACAGAGGTTGAGCAGCCTTTGGTCTGTCCACCATTCCCAGTAGAATGTCAGATGTGGTGAGGTAAGGATCACCATAAAAGCGCAAGTTGGCATCCATCCTTGTTGCTACCATATTTCCTTCCAAAGACACTCCCACAAAAGCACCTACGTTTGGAAACATTCCTTTTGGTTAGCTATTATACTCAAACGTCATCTAAAACGGACATTAATAATGGAAAATAACATAAGAACAAAGATAAAAACAATGTAGTAGGCACAAGCAAACAGTCATAAATTATGTGCCAGACAAAGCAGTCGTTACAGCGAATTTAAGTCATCCAAGGAAGAAAACCAAGCTACCAAACACTCCACTGAACATCTTATATCACTTGATGTACAACTTTGACTTTCCACAGCACAGTACTCAAGTTCATATCATAAAACAACACCGTCCCAAAGACCTTATGCTCCTGCAGCTGCACTTTCTAATGCTTTGCTCGAGCTTTTCGGTCATCCCTTCATAGGTAGCTCTTTTCAAATCACTTTGCAACCAAAGCACTTAAGTAATCAAAGGGAGAAACCAAGCTACTTAATACTCCACGGAACATCTTATGTGACTTGACCTGCAACTTAGACTTTCCACAGTACTCAAGTTCTTATCATAACACAACGCCAACCCAAAGACCTTATGCTCCTGCAGCTATACTTTCTAATGCATTGCTCAGTCTTTTTGGTTATCCCTCCATATGTAGCTCTTTCCAAGTCACTTTGCAACCAAAGCACTTCAGATACCCTCCCCTTAAAAGTGAGGGAAAATAAAGCCACTAAAGTGCACCAACCAAGCATTCCATACACTATTCAATGTGAGATTAAGACACCACATAATACCCAAGTCCTTATTAAACAATACAAAGATTTAGCATGTATAAAATTGACAAATTATTGACACTATAATGTTAGGCAATAAAGACAAACACCCGAACAAGTGCCTTCAATCCACTTTACGTCTTTACCAAGTGACAAATGACAGCAACGCCATATTCTTTAGGGCAACTAAATGCATGAGGCTCAAACAAAGTCAAGGGAAGGTACTTTTATGCAGCCTTACCCTCACAATTGGAGAAAACTGTTTTCAAAAGTTGAACTCAGGAACTCTACTATGGATCAAAACACAAGGTAGCAACAACCTTGCGACAAGGTTTGCCTTTAGCAACACTTCCACTAAACAAAAATGGGACTTGTATGCAGTCATCTACCACACATTTTTTAGCATGCTTAAAAATAGATATCTAGGTTTGCGCATTAAGAACATTATGAAGATTATTGCTTATTCCATGACCTTGACAAAATATTAGACCAGATGTTGAAACAATTTAATTTGAAAGCAATAGTTTGGATACTAACATGATCACTAATGACACATATATATGCCCAAGCATAAAAAGAAATTAAAAGAAATCTTTGGCATTTAACATACAAAGATCCACTGACATTAAGGAAAAAAAAACACCAAAATTACCTTTACTGCAGCTGTAAGTGTAACACATGCCAGTGCCTCTGTCACCAGCCCGAATATCTGCTTCAAGCACTCTCCCAACAGGCCCTGCTGCGGCACTACAACCAGCACCAAGAGAAAAATGCATGCGACTGCAGAATGTCTTCACAGCTTTCATATCACGAAGAACAACTATAAAATCCATAAGTTCACCACCAATCTGAGAATATAGGATGAGCAGATATAGTCCATCAGTTAGAAATTAATTCCTGACTAAGTCAACTTAGTCATGTATGACCAAAGAGGATTTTTCTATTCTCTATTGATTACATACCTATAATAAGGATAGTATTTAATGAAGTGATGGCTCAGAAATGGTCATTAACGATCTAAAAGTACCACTACAACAAAACCTTATCCCACTATTTGAAGTTGGCTATACTAGCAACTCAAGAGTATTTCATATAAATAAGTCACAGACAGAATAATCACGTCAATCAATATTTGGAGGAAATTCTAAGCACGAACAAATTTCAAAACGGCTCCCCCTCTATTTGTTATATTATTTGTTTCTGCCAAATCATATCAGGGAACATGTTAGGGATGGAGAGTTTAGGAGTGAAGGAATAAAACATTAAATGCCCAACTGCCTTAACTGCCTTAGCAGTTAGGAAGAGCGGGGTTATTGGTTGTATAAATAGCAAATAATCAATTGTAGTGGGGGGTCGATTGTTTGATTGTAGTCTAACAGGGTTTTGTCATCATGAAGAGGGAGGTTAGACTCTCTAGAAGGAGGTTATGCTCCCAAACCCAGTCCTTGTAAAGAGATTCGTTTACTGTGAATAATGGCAAAACTCATTCTTTCATTTTTGTTTCTATCTTTTGAGTGTTTTCTTGTTAGGTTCCAAACCCAGGAACCTAACAGAACATAACCATAGTTTCAATCTACAAAAAAAACAAACCCATATATAAGCTCCATACCTGAGCACCCCATCCCAAACCCAGGGAGAATATAGCTGATGGTGCAGANCGAAAAAAATAATTTGACTACAAATTTTTCGAAAAAGAATTTGACTACAAATAGAGTTTACGATCAGAGAGACTTGACATCTTAGTGTGGTAAATTATTATAAGTTATAAGTTTTATTTTTAATTTATCTTCACTGTTAATTGTCAGGACTTTAAATTTAAGATTCGGCATTGTAAAATAATATTCCCTTAAACTAATGTAATATGAAGAGTCTTAAATAAAGGCCTAAGTTATGAGAATAAATTTAACCATATAAATGACTAAAATCTTCAATCATCTGATCAAAAATAGAAAATCAAACAATAATTATAAAATAATATATCAAGATCCCCGCGTCCCAGCATTCAAATAAAATGTATTTTAAGACGATTTTCTATAAATATTATTTTTTTAAAACATAATCCAACGAAAACAAACTTTTATCTATTCCTGTAAAATCCTAAAGTGTTCATGTACTAAGGAATATCTCAATTACTATATAGTTTAAACAATCCATGTCATGGTGTATAAGATTTATTAATGCAAACCACATAGCAACCATGTTCGAACTAAAGAATTTGATGATGAGTAGTAATATGCTGATTCAAAAAAAAAAACTATACTCAACCAGAAAAGTAAAAACAGAATATTTTATATAAAACCAATTCTCATGGGCAACATTTGAACGACCAGTAAACAAAAGAAATTGGTTGTCTCCTCGAGCTTCCAAACACATTATATTGCCTTTAGGCAAGTATATTACTCTATTTAAAATATTTCTAATTCCAGAAAAATCCATCAGCATGAATAAAAGAAAGCAAACGAATAACTGATTTCAGGGATTGTCTATTTACAATTTAGTATAATATTCACATCATAAATTCGTGTATAGAGCATCAATATCAATCGTAATATATGACCGAATTACGAGGGGATCCCTCACCCATATGAACCAAACATGGAGGAGTTGGAATTAACTATGGGAATCATAATTCAGAAATCCATGGAAGAACTAGAAGTGTATATACAACAGGCAGTATTTAAGACACCGCCTGCAGCAGAGACAGAAAGAAGGTGCAACTGTGGACCTGGAAGCAGAGACCAGCTTAGAGACGTAAACAGGAATACAGTTCTTGAAGACTGGCATACAGAGGTTGAGCAGCCTTTGGTCTGTCCACCATTCCCAGTAGAATGTCAGATGTGGTGAGGTAAGGATCACCATAAAAGCGCAAGTTGGCATCCATCCTTGTTGCTACCATATTTCCTTCCAAAGACACTCCCACAAAAGCACCTACGTTTGGAAACATTCCTTTTGGTTAGCTATTATACTCAAACGTCATCTAAAACGGACATTAATAATGGAAAATAACATAAGAACAAAGATAAAAACAATGTAGTAGGCACAAGCAAACAGTCATAAATTATGTGCCAGACAAAGCAGTCGTTACAGCGAATTTAAGTCATCCAAGGAAGAAAACCAAGCTACCAAACACTCCACTGAACATCTTATATCACTTGATGTACAACTTTGACTTTCCACAGCACAGTACTCAAGTTCATATCATAAAACAACACCGTCCCAAAGACCTTATGCTCCTGCAGCTGCACTTTCTAATGCTTTGCTCGAGCTTTTCGGTCATCCCTTCATAGGTAGCTCTTTTCAAATCACTTTGCAACCAAAGCACTTAAGTAATCAAAGGGAGAAACCAAGCTACTTAATACTCCACGGAACATCTTATGTGACTTGACCTGCAACTTAGACTTTCCACAGTACTCAAGTTCTTATCATAACACAACGCCAACCCAAAGACCTTATGCTCCTGCAGCTATACTTTCTAATGCATTGCTCAGTCTTTTTGGTTATCCCTCCATATGTAGCTCTTTCCAAGTCACTTTGCAACCAAAGCACTTCAGATACCCTCCCCTTAAAAGTGAGGGATAATAAAGCCACTAAAGTGCACCAACCAAGCATTCCATACACTATTCAATGTGAGATTAAGACACCACATAATACCCAAGTCCTTATTAAACAATACAAAGATTTAGCATGTATAAAATTGACAAATTATTGACACTATAATGTTAGGCAATAAAGACAAACACCCGAACAAGTGCCTTCAATCCACTTTACGTCTTTACCAAGTGACAAATGACAGCAACGCCATATTCTTTAGGGCAACTAAATGCATGAGGCTCAAACAAAGTCAAGGGAAGGTACTTTTATGCAGCCTTACCCTCACAATTGGAGAAAACTGTTTTCAAAAGTTGAACTCAGGAACTCTACTATGGATCAAAACACAAGGTAGCAACAACCTTGCGACAAGGTTTGCCTTTAGCAACACTTCCACTAAACAAAAATGGGACTTGTATGCAGTCATCTACCACACATTTTTTAGCATGCTTAAAAATAGATATCTAGGTTTGCGCATTAAGAACATTATGAAGATTATTGCTTATTCCATGACCTTGACAAAATATTAGACCAGATGTTGAAACAATTTAATTTGAAAGCAATAGTTTGGATACTAACATGATCACTAATGACACATATATATGCCCAAGCATAAAAAGAAATTAAAAGAAATCTTTGGCATTTAACATACAAAGATCCACTGACATTAAGGAAAAAAAAACACCAAAATTACCTTTACTGCAGCTGTAAGTGTAACACATGCCAGTGCCTCTGTCACCAGCCCGAATATCTGCTTCAAGCACTCTCCCAACAGGCCCTGCTGCGGCACTACAACCAGCACCAAGAGAAAAATGCATGCGACTGCAGAATGTCTTCACAGCTTTCATATCACGAAGAACAACTATAAAATCCATAAGTTCACCACCAATCTGAGAATATAGGATGAGCAGATATAGTCCATCAGTTAGAAATTAATTCCTGACTAAGTCAACTTAGTCATGTATGACCAAAGAGGATTTTTTTATTCTCTATTGATTACATACCTATAATAAGGATAGTATTTAATGAAGTGATGGCTCAGAAATGGTCATTAACGATCTAAAAGTACCACTACAACAAAACCTTATCCCACTATTTGAAGTTGGCTATACTAGCAACTCAAGAGTATTTCATATAAATAAGTCACAGACAGAATAATCACGTCAATCAATATTTGGAGGAAATTCTAAGCACGAACAAATTTCAAAACGGCTCCCCCTCTATTTGTTATATTATTTGTTTCTGCCAAATCATATCAGGGAATATGTTAGGGATGGAGAGTTTAGGAGTGATGGAATAAAACATTAAATGCCCAACTGCCTTAACTGCCTTAGCAGTTAGGAAGAGCGGGGTTATTGGTTGTATAAATAGCAAATAATCAATTGTAGTGGGGGGTCGATTGTTTGATTGTAGTCTAACAGGGTTTTGTCATCATGAAGAGGGAGGTTAGACTCTCTAGAAGGAGGTTATGCTCCCAAACCCAGTCCTTGTAAAGAGATTCGTTTACTGTGAATAATGGCAAAACTCATTCTTTCATTTTTGTTTCTATCTTTTGAGTGTTTTCTTGTTAGGTTCCAAACCCAGGAACCTAACAGAACATAACCATAGTTTCAATCTACAAAAAAAACAAACCCATATATAAGCTCCATACCTGAGCACCCCATCCCAAACCCAGGGAGAATATAGCTGATGGTGCAGACCAAGATCCATCTGATCTTCGAGAGACAACCAAACCAGTACCCAGTTTGTAAGAGACGAGTGCACCAGCTTTGGCGACTGTTAAAATAGCTAAGCCTTTGGCACTTTTAAGAACCGTTAAAGGGATCGACTTTTCAGGATTGGATTTGGCCACCTGCCAACAAAAAGTATTTCACATGAGATAAAACCAGCAAGGTTCATATTCTGAAAAATCTTAACAAGATACTTAATGGATATATTAGTAAAGCAATACTAATCAGACCCTTTTGCACTGAAAAATTCTTCAGTGAAATTACAACAAATGAAACTAACCTGGCAGTAGTTTCTTAATGTATTAGATGCTTTATATATCTCATGCTCCATAGATAAACCAACAGGAAGATTAATCCATCCTCTAGCACAAGTCCAGTCCATGACATCATGCTTGGCTACCTGCACAGCATTGCTTATGGTGTTGATAAGAACCCCCTGCAAAGGATCAAGCCGATCATAGCAGGCATCACAAACCCTTTGAGGATTCCTTTCCCTGAACCCAACAGGCAATAAACACCGCCCCTTGGTACATATTCGACAGAAAATCCCTCCACAAAACCGGCAATGATGTCTACCACGAGTAAGTGCAGTAAATGGAGCATCACACTGCATACAAACATTAGTGGAACTATCAGGAATCCAATCCGGCGGTTCAGCTTCCAAAACCTCTTTGTATGAATTATAATCACTCCCATTGGGCAGACAGAGCGGTGGTGCACTAGGCGTGTAAACCGAAGAGTCAAGGAGGACATCCCCATTCTTTCCAGAGCCGAAAAATGATACATTTGAACTTGGGAGTTGCTGGTTTGCAGTGACCCTCGGACTTGGACCCTTGTTCCGTCCAGTCAAAATAGCAAAGATCCCAGAAAGCACATTCTTTAAGTTCACCTCCGGTGGCGTTTTAGAGGGTACAAAACCACGAGCATCATCACCTGATTCATAACCTCCGTCAAACAGATTATCATCCTCAGAGGGGAACTGATATAACACCTCTTTGTCAGAGAACGTTGAGCCTAATTGGCCACACGTGGTTTCAGGCTTAGGTTCAATCCATACGGATTCGCCGTGATGATTCATCGCACCGTAGCCCAGAGAGGTAGTGTTTTCCTTATCTAGCTTAGAAAGTGAAGAATAAGTAACTCTAGCATCAGAGGCTCCCATTCACCCAACAAAACAACCCTGCGTCTACTTAAATATAGCAATGCAAAACTGCAATAGAAAGTCCCAAAGTAACACACTTTATTGAAGAGGAAGTGATAGAGAATCAGTTAAGGCAAACAACTTCAAGGAAATTGAACAGCGACAACAAACATCAATTAAGTATCGTATTGCAC